CTATTTATTACAATAAACCGGTTGTTGGCTGTACAAAGAATATAAATTGCTCAGGTTCAGAACACGTCTTGACTTCCACAGACAATTTTCACAATTTTACAGACGTGTCTGATAAATTCAGATCTCCTCGTCCATCACGAGCTCCTCGGACTGTTGCTTTAGTCCTGACAGTTAAAGGAACTGTTTTGCGACTTTAGTATCCCCCAGAGTTAGATAAGTCCATACCTTTTTCATCTCTGTGTGTGCCGTAACTCTGTCTGACGCACACACCGCTAGCCTAGCTTAGCACAAACACTGGAAGTAAATGGCTCCAGCTAGCATACTAATCCCAAGAAGTGACAAAACAACACCAACATTTTCCTATTTACATCACTTATTGGGATTAATGCTACCTGGAGTCATTTATATCCAGTGTTTGTGCTAAGCTAGGCTAGCGGTGTGTGCGTCAGACAGAGTTACGGCACGCACGGAGATGACAAAGACTTATCTAACTCTGGGGGAAACGGTGAAGAAGCTAAAGTCCCAAAACGTCGCGTGTTCCTTTAAACGTGTCGCGTGTGAGATGTGCGGATGTGAGTTCAGGGATTTCCACTCCGGCCTGTTGGCATTTGTGCCTCTGACTCCTGATCTACCATCCATTCCCTTTATTTATGTGGTCGATCCAGACGGACAAACACAATCCATAACGTTCACTGCAGTGGAGCTTTACTGGGTAAGAGGCAGACATGAAGCCCACCAGCTGACTCTGTTGACTTTGGAGTGGATAAACTGATGAAGGCAACACTTCAGTTCTCTCAGGTCATTATCCACGAGGAAGAGGATGTTGTGTTTCATTTTCTTACTCATCTGCTTTTTCTCTCGTTTAATTTCTCTGTCTAATTTCCAAGTCTATCCCAGATTCGGGCACTGTTTTTCCTCTACTGTGTGCGGTCTCACAGGTATTTATATTCATGGTTGGCAGCTAAAGTTATCCGTCAAATCCAAAAACAACATAATACAATATGATTCTCACAGTACAAATATTCTGTAATAACTATGAATAAAACCCGAGAGTATAATTCTTCAAAATTGTTACTTTCGAAAGCTATTTAGATGGCAATGTGTTTCCCCTACTGAAAATATTTTGAAAACCAAAAAGCTTTAGAGTAAAATTATTTACCTCGTTTTTTTTTTGTTTTGTTTTTAAGACTTAATGGTGCCTTTAATCAGAGACAGATTACCACAGCATAAATCCTATTTCCCGGCTCAGAATGATACACAGGTCAGAAACCCCAGGGCTCGGGATCGTTAGCTGTGATGGCCAAACCAAACAAGCTCAGGAACGGCTTTAGACTCGGAGGAATTGAAAGTTAAACAGAAAACACTGAAGTGCGTCACGCATCAGCAGGTACAGGTGCTCTCACTCCGAGCCTGGACCCTTGACCAGGACAGGGTTTCGGCCCAGATGGACCAATGAATAACTGGACCATAAGTCTATAGTTCAGACAGGCGTGCACGCGCTCGGGGAGCCGATTAACACCTGGCTTTTCGGACGAGGTACCAATCCATACTAATGATGAAGGTAATTAATCAGCTGAAAGCTCGGGTGCAATGGAAATGGCTGCTTTAGGACAAATATTTGTGTACTAGATGAGTTAAATGAGCTATTACGGAAGGAATGTAACGTGCAGCTGTGTTTCAATTAGTGTTTTTAAATCAAATGAAGTCGTGTGCGCAATCAGACCCGCAGACGTGCTCTTGGCCATCAGCTTCAGAGGACGTGTCGTGTGAGAGGAGGTCGTTTCAGGGCGTTTGACCTTAGACCTGTGTTGCAGATGAACCCCATATATCATTCGTTCTGGACGATCTGCCTTTATCTCAACATCTGCAGATGATTGTGCTTTAAATGCTCCAATGATAATCTGCATTTTTGTTGTTTAAATATTCACAGATCAATTTATCACAAGTTGTTAATTACATTTATGCATCAGGCAGAAGCTTTTATTTAAAATATTTTATCATTTTGATTTTCATGAGTGGCAGCATGCACTACAAGAGCTAAATGTCGAGATATATATGTGTGTGTGTGTGTGTGTGTGTGTGTGTGTGTGTGTGTGTGTGTGTGTGTGTGTGTGTGTGTGTGTGTGTGTGTGTGTGTGTGTGTGTGTGTGTGTGTGTGTGTGTTTCAAAGACTCTACAAGTTTGATAAAACCATCAAAATATGAGGAAAGTATTTTATATTTTTTGAAAATTTTAAATAGGAGGGAAGAACAAACACTAAACTTTTTTACGGAATTAATCTGCCAGAATTATTTGGCAAAAAAAAAAAAAGTCAAACTAAAGCTTCAGGTTTTATTTTACTCTGAAAAAAAGTGCATAGAAAAACAAAAAGCTGACAGGAAAAAGTAGACGTTGACTATATCATAATCAGTTATCAATTTTTCATTGGTTCTCCCTTGTTTTTGCATGTGTTTAAAATTTCTTTGTATGACAGCCTGCCTGGCCCAAAAATATGTCGCACAATTTGGCATGATTCACTGCATTATTATTGCAAATAAAACAAGCACAACACAATGCTTACAAAAATTAAATATATTTGAATTAAAAATGGGTGAAAATGTCAATTTTTCTAGTCCAGACATCACTTCTGGCCAATTCTGTATATAAATAAAATACTAAAATTAAATATAGAAAAGATGTACTTCTATAAGTTGAATTAGTTTAATTTGGACAAAGTTAAGTTATAGCCAAAGTAGAGCTCTTCTCAATCTCATGTTGTTATGAGGACCTCTGCTGGTGGATACACGCACACACACTTAACACACACACTTAACACACTTAACACTAAATATTTTGAGCATGCACTGTTTTTATTCTCTCGGTGTAGATTATCTGCAGGTAAAGTATTCAATTAGTAAAGCTGATATTTATGATCACAAATTTACTTTTAATGTTGGCTGTATGATGTCAGGTGCTCTTTGTTGTTAGTGGCTTGTTATGATTGCTCTCTCTCTCTCTCTCTCTCTCTCTCTCTCTCTCTCTCTCTCTCTCTCTCTCTCTCGATTTCCTGAGCCGTCTAGAGCAGGGGTCTCCAAACTCGGCCCTTGAGGGCCCCTGTCCTGCAGAGTTGAGCTTATTTAAACACACCTGAGCCGGCTGATCCGGGCCCTGGATCGAGTTTGGAGAGCCCGCTCTAGGGTTTGCTCAGGTTGACTCGAGTTCCTCTGCTATCGCAGCGCCCGTCGTCCCCTAAAGCACACTGACACAGATCTACACACGTGACTGACAGACACCAGCTGCCTTCCCTTCGCTCCGTGCAGACACTATTAATAATGCCTCTCGATTCTATCTCAAACAAACAGATAAACATAGATAGCATATTAAACACCAAGTTTAAACATGCATGCATGCACAGGCACAATTCTCTGCACTTCAAAACAAATGTGTGGCATAAATAGAGAGAAGTGTTTAAAGTGCATTATTGCAATAATTTTGTCAAGTCTTCACATCTGATCTTGCTGCCAGATGCACTGCAAGACTATCCTCTGCGTACGCAAGCAGAAACTCAGAGTCTCCTTCAGGTGTCACTTATTTTCCTCTCCAAAGACATGTCTACTTCTGTCTTGGATTGAGTGACTCCTTGACATTTGATCTTCCAGTAATTCATTTCTTCTCAATTTTAATATTTATCTTGTTCTGCTTAGGGGGAAATGTTCTCCTGTAATTACATAGGAATAAACCATGTTGACATAACATTGTAGTATCTTGGTTTAATGGGGGAAAAAAACCTTCATTCCTTCACCTTGAGCATTTAGTTGGAATGAGAGACGATATGTTGTTAAAGTCCCCCTGAAGTCAATCATTTTATCCCTTAAAACTCATCTTTGGTCACCAAAATTACACATTTAAAGTTTTTTCCTTTAAAAAAAATCTTCATGCCTTAAAATATCTTGAATGTAACTCGACACCCTTGCCTCATTTAGTATGCGCGGTTGTATGAATATGCAAATGAGCCCCGCCTCCACTCACTCCCTCAGCTCAGAGATCCACTGGTTGACGATCACACGTTGATCTGATTGGTTACAAGGTCGTTTGTGACGTCAGAAACACCAGCGATTTCACACCGTGTTTTTGAGACTGTCTTTGGTTCACTGCAGTTTTAAGCAGAAAATACTCAGCAATGCTGTCGACTTATGAACTTACACATGGTGTGTCTTAAAGCATATTAAAAAACACCACATAGACACATAAACAATGCTGGATTCTCACCACAGCGGGACTTTAAGTATCTACTCAATCCCACTGTATTCATTGTTCACAGTATAGCCTATTGTAATTGACTGTTGGGGAAACCTACAATCTAAAAAATGCTGGGTTGTTTTAACCCATGTTTGGGTCAAATGAAGTGTTATTTTATGTGTTTGTGCACAAGATTAATATAGGGGGAGACCCGTTAGTGTTTAATTTTGGATTTTAAAATGGTTTCTGAAGAGCAGAGCCTGTAGTTAGATTAAGGATGGTCTAAAAACATTAACATTTTTACACATGTATGTTGCTGGATGATTGAAGCACTTCATTTACTGGAGTAACTCTTACTTGGTCTTTTTAAGGCAATCAGTTTGCATTAACAAGTAAATCAGATCGATATTCAAGTGCATACAAATAGTATTTATTCAAGTGCATACTATTCAAGTTGCATTAAAGTCGCCATGTTGGGTTTAAGCATATTTGACCCAAACATGGGTTAAAAGAACCCCAGTGTGTGCACATGATCCACACAGTTCACACTGGCAGTTTACCACTTGGCGATATAGTTGTCTTGATAAGCACAAGACCAAATCAATTTAGAGCAAGTATCCAGATAAGGCGCTGTCTGCACATTTGTGAAGCCTAGGAAAAGCTTAACACACTCTGCCCTGTTTACAGCGATGGCCAGTGTGTATGATGAAACGTGATTCCCCACCAATCCCGGAGGTCGGGAAGTGTCAAGGAAAGATGATCATCGGGATGCCTGGCATACTTTCCACCGCAGCGTAGCGATGGTTCACCCATTTCAAAACCACTTGTGCTAGAGCTCCACAATTTACTACAGGTTGGGAATCACAAAGCCAAAGGACTTGAACGAGGGAAGGGATCCCTGGAGGTAAACGATGTCTGAAAGGAAGCCCTCAGCAAACAAGAACATTAAAAAGCTGCGTGCCATAAGCATGGTGTGCGGTTTAACCCGGAGCTGGCAGCAGTGGGTGAGCGAGAACAAGGACAAGCAGGCCAGCGAACCCAGCGGATGGGCCCCGGGAGACCCCAAAGATTCGGGAAAGATCCGACCCTCTCAGAAGGCTCTTCCCAGCCAGGACCTTACCAATAAAAACCAGGATGATGTAGAGTCACGCATCAAAACCGGACAAGTGCTGAAAACCGTGACGAGGGATGTCCAGGAGAGAAGTGCGGGCATTGACTTTCTGACCAAACGCATCTGTAAGGACCCGGACACGGACGACCTGGATAAGATGCTGAGCCAGAAAGGGTCGCCCACGCGCCGGAGAAAGTGCTCCAACATGGTGTCGGAGCTGACGCGCAGCTGGAAGGAGATGGAAGAGGAGAAAACGCCGGTTCAGGAGAGCGGAGAGGACGATGAGGATACAGGAGTACAGATGGGAGTTAATCAGGAGGATAACAGGACCAATGAAGGCACTGCGGTCACTATCAAAAGATCCTCTGTTCTCGGGTAAGTTCTGCTCTTCTAATACAGATGAGATGTTTTTTTGGGTAGAAGAAAAGGTGATAAAGGAGAACTCATGTGGTCTTTTAGTAGGGTCGTTAGAAAGTTATTTAAATGTCGTAAATCAATTTAATTATAACATGCTATGTTATTTTAGTCAAACACTTTAAATAACATCCATGTGTTTGATAGAAATCCCATATGTGTGTGTAATCTAGTGCACATTTATTCACCGTTGGGTTATTTTAATATTTAGTAATGTATGGAAAAGACCTATCACATGAGCTTGACAGCCATATTGATTATTCAGACCAACTGTTCTTCAAAACTTTAATACACAAGAAGTTAATATGAAGTACATTACATTTTAGACTAAATAGAGCTGGTCAGTTGCTTCTCTATTTCCCCTCCACAAAGAAACCCGTTCTAACTGAATCTACAACAGAACTGAACCTGTGGCGTTTCAGAATGAATCAGTGTTTTTGACAGAATCGATTGAAGGATTTATTCAGTGAGGCACTCATACATTCGTTTTTGAAAGAATGTGCTTGATTAATTATTCAATAACTCATAAAGACGGCCACTTCGTTCCTAAATGATTCTGTGTTTTTTAAAGAATTGGTTGAGTGAAAGATTCATTGATTTGTAAAGACGGTCACTTGTTTTTTTACTGAATGAATCTGTGTTTTGTTTTTTGAAAGAATTGGTTGAGAGAAAGATTCAGTGACTCACTCATACATGTTTAGTTTCTGAATGAATCAGTGTTTCTGAACAGTTCACTCATAAAGACGGTCATTTATGAGCACTTTTGGTACACCGGTTTAAAACACCTTTTAAACCAACTGTTTCATTGTTTAATAAATTTGATTTTGAAAGTGTTTAATTAACAGTGATGGGAATAACGGCGTTAGAAATAATGCCGTTACTAACGGCATTACTTTTTCCAGTAACTAGTAATCTAATTGAATACTCTTCTCATCTTAATAACGCCGTTACCGTTATTGCCAAAAAATGCGGCGCGTTACTATAACTGATTAAGCTGTTTTTTTTTCATCAGACCAACTAGATCTCTGAGCGAGAGGCAAATACTTTTTTTACTGTTCTTCCTTGGTTAGTGGGCAGAGCACGAGACAAGCGCATACATGCTGACGGTTGGCTGAGGTAAAGTAAAATGTCATTGTAAGCCAATCAGAGGTAGAGTTGGGCGGGTGTTCGAAAGCACGCATAGTAGTGATGGGCATTCGGCTCTTTTGACTCAGCTCACTGAAAAGAGCCGGCTCTTTTGGCTCACAAACGGCTCTTTAAATGACTTTGACTATAATATTTCAATTTTTATTACATAATTATTTCATTTCTATAGGCTAAATTTGTAAAAATAGAGTCAGCTCTTCAGATATGCGAGCCAGCTCCCGACGTTCACCTAAAAGAGCCGGCTCTTAGAGTCGGCTCATTCGCGAATTGCGAACGACCCATCAAAAGCTCATTCGTGAACGAGTCGATCCATCATCACTAACGCTAATTCGCGAACGAGTCGATCCATCATCACTAACGCTAATTCACGAACGAGTCGATCCATCATCACTAACGCTAATTCGCGAGCGAGTCGATCCATCATCACTAACGCTCATTCGCGAACGAGTCGATCCATCATCACTAATGTTAATTCGCGAACGAGTCGATCCATCATCACTAACGCTCATTCGCGAACGAGTCGATCCATCATCACTAACGCTCATTCGCGAACGAGTCGATCCATCATCACTAACGCTCATTCGCGAACGAGTCGATCCATCATCACTAACGCTCATTCGCGAACGAGTCGATCCATCATCACTAACGCTCATTCGCGAATGAGTCGATCCATCATCACTAACGCTCATTCGCGAACGAGTCGATCCATCATCACTAACGCTAATTCGCGAACGAGTCGATCCATCATCACTAACGCTCATTCGCAAACGAGTCGATCCATCATCACTAACGCTAATTCGCGAACGAGTCGATCCATCATCACTAACGCTCATTCGCGAACGAGTCGATCCATCATCACTAACGCTCATTCGCAAACGAGTCGATCCATCATCACTAACGCTAATTCGCGAATGAGTCGATCCATCATCACTAACGCTCATTCGCGAACGAGTCGATCCATCATCACTAATGCTAATTCGCGAACGAGTCGATCCATCATCACTAACGCTCATTCGCAAACGAGTCGATCCATCATCACTAACGCTAATTCGCGAACGAGTCGATCCATCATCACTAACGCTAATTCGCGAACGAGTCGATCCATCATCACTAACGCTCATTCGCGAACGAGTCGATCCATCATCACTAAAGCCTAGTTCACACTACATGATTTTAAAACGTCGGGCTGAACTGTGCGGTTCACACTACATGACTTGCTCTCTGTGAAATCAGGAGTGTTCAAGTTGTCGAGCTGTTCACACCGTTCACACCACACGACACACCGTGATTGATCCGCAACAGGAGGTAACGCACTACACGAGTTGACAACAACTCTGTCACCCAACGATTCTATCTTGTCTACAAACCACGTTTTGTCACAAAAAATCACGCGATAAAACGAGCCGGAAATGACGCGAAACAGCACACGCGCTAATACCCAGCGAAGAAGACGAAGACCCATGCCTTGCTCTGATTGGCTGTAGCTCATGACATCACTGAGGTTGAGTCGGCGACAGCTCTGGATATCTAGCATGCTAGATATTTTTCTGGGCTCGGCGACGCGTCTGCGAGGCGTCAGCGAGTGTCTTTGATGCGTTGTTGGCTCTTTCATACTAACAGTTTGGCGAGCGTCCATCGTCCGCTAATCCCCCGCGATTTGCACGCGATAACACCCTGACCTGTCGGCGAGCTCAACGATTTGCAAATCGGGCTTAAATCGGGCTTATAATCCTGTAGTGTGAACTAGTTCGACCCATCCTCACTAACGGCTAACGCTCATGAATTGCGAACGACCCATCATAACGCATAGTCGGATAGGGTAGAGGTGGGGTCACATTTGAGCATTTAAAATTTAATTTTACTTGAAAGTAACGCAATAGTTACTTTCTTAAGTAACTAGTTACTTTTAAAATTTGTAACTGAGTAACTAAATTAGTTACGTTTTGGAAGAAGTAACTAGTAACTATAACTAATTACTTTTTAAAAGTAACTTGCCCAACACTGTTAATTAATTATTCAATAACTCATAAAGACAGCCACTTGTTTCGTTCCTGGATTAATCTGTTTGTTTTTTAAAATTGGTTGAGTGGAAGATTCAGTGACTCACTCATACAGTCACTTGTTTCCTTTCTGAATGAATCAGTGTTTTTGAACAAATCACTCATTAAGAAAGTCATTAATGAGCACTTTAAACACATGTGACCAAACAAAATAGCTATAATAGCCTATGACAATTTTTTTTTTACATTACAATTTGCATTATTGTATTACCCATATGTTCTACAATCTTCTTAGGGGCAAAAAGGAAATTGAAGATGCCAACAAAATAAATGCCTTGTCAAAGAAATACAGCGCTGTGGGGAGTTTAAAAAGCCGCTGGCAGGACTGGGCGTCGGAGCACACGGTCAACCAGAAGCTCAACCCCTTCAGCGAGGACTTTGATTATGAGTATTCGATGTCGACGCGGTTGCGGAGGGGCGAGGAGGGTTACGGGCGGCCCAAAGAGGGCAGCAAGACCGCAGAACGGGCCAAACGCGCAGAAGCGCACATCCACCGCGAGATCGATGACATGTGCTTCATCATAAGGACCATGGCGGACCGGGATTCAGACGGATGCACCAGAGTGACCTTCGGAGATCTGTTTGACAGATATGTGCGGATCTCTGATAAAGTCGTGGGAATACTAATGAGGGCCAGAAAGCATGGAAAGCTGGCGTTTGAGGGGGAGATGCTGTGGCAGGGCCAGGATGATGCCGTCATTATTACTCTGTTAGTATGACATGAGACTGACATGATATGTAAAATTGAATTAACCTTACTGAAAAAGCATGCAAACTTAGAAAAAACAAGCCCCCCTGGTTAAAGTCCCCCTGTAGTCAGTAATTTTATCCCTTAATTTTATCTTTTATCACCAGAATGACATTAAACATTTTTTCCTTGAAAAGAAATGTCTTCATGCCTTAAAATATCCTGAATGTAACTCGACACCCTTGCCTCATTTAGTATGTGCGGTTCTATGAATATGCAGATGAGCCCCGCCTCCACTCACTCCCTCAGCTCAGAGATCCACTGGTTGGCGATCACACGTTGATCTGATTGGTTACAAGGTCGTTTGTGACATCAGAAACACCAGCGATTTCAAACCGTGTTTTTGAGACTGTCTTTGGTTCACTGCAGTTTTAAGCAGAAAATACTCAGCAATGCTGTCGACTTATGAATTTACACATGGTGTGTCTTAAAGCGTATTAAAAACACCACATAGACACATAAACAACATTAAAAGCTGGATTTTCACCAGCGGGACTTTAAAGCAACTTGGAATGTGTATGTACTTGAATATCGATCTGGTTTACTTGTTAAAACCATGCAAACTTATTGCCTTAAAAACACCAAGTAAGAGTTACTCCAGTAAATGAAGTGCTTCAATCATCCAGCTAGCAATAGCACACATACATGTGTAAAAATGTTTTTAGACCATCCTCAATCTAACCACAGGCTCTGCTCTTTAGAAACCCTTTTAAAACCAAACATTAATAAGTAACGGGTTTGTGCAAAAACATAAAATAAGACTTATTTTCAACATTTGCTCTGAAGCAAAGCATGCTGGGAATTAGAAATCTGCTGTAACTCAGTCAGTTCTACTCAATATTATCAGTTATTGAGTTCACATAACTTTTTAGTGTGAAAAACATTTCATTTATTGAATCATAACTTTATATTAACTTTTCCCATGTAGAATAGTTGATGATCTAGTTTAAAGTCAGACTTTGCTTTATGTTTCTGTTGAAAGTAAAAATAACTTTAAAAAAAAAAAATGATATTGTTATAAAAGTAGTTCTAAGTGCCCAACCAATGGAAACACTAATCACCATAATGGTGACAATATCACTTTATCTCGTCAATGTCTGTGATGTTCTCTCAGAAACAACATTCAAGTTCACTTGAAAATGAATGAAACTAAAGAAAAAGATAAATGCAGAATGATTGCCAGCAAAATGCTGGGTTGTTTTAACCCAATTTTGGGTCAAATATGGACAAACCCTAAGAATGGGTTAAAATGTAATTCAAATATTTAACCCAACACCTGGGTTTGTCCATATTTGACCTAAATTTGGCTTGAAACAACCCAGCATTTTTTAGAATTATCCTCAAACAAATCAACTTATCTTAATTAGGGTTTACTGAGTATCAAAGGCACAGTACACAAATAGTAGAGATTGCTAGATTTTTACAATTAAAATCAACACATTTTAGTACATCAACTCTGAACTGAATGTAAATGATTTTGCTGCTATTGATAAAACGTAGAAAGGTAAAACAACTACAGGTAGGCATTATGCGTTTACATTTACTGTATAACGCTTTACAGTAAGGTTGTTACTGCATTAACTAACAATGAGAAATGTATTCTTCCAGCATGTATTAACCTCTGTTAATGTTAGCTCACAGTGCATTAACTAATGTTAACAGATACAACTTTTAATCTTAAAAATGTACTGAGATTAACCTAAGACTAATAAATGCAGTTCATTGTCAGTTCATGTTAAATGAAACCTCTTTGTAAAGTCTTACCAGCTTTGTGTCATTATATGTGTCATGTCTCCCATTTGGACTTTAATGTTTAGTTTGTGTGGTTATTTCCTCTTGTCCTCCTAGTTGTGCTGTTGATTAGCGCAGATATTATTCACATGTGTTTGTAGTTTTCTCATTACTCCTTGTGTATAAATACCCCGTATGTTTTCCCGTGTTTTGTTCGTTGTTGTTGTCGTAACTCCTGTTTTGGATTTGTTTCATATTTCTGTGCCTCTCTTGAGTTCTGGTTTTTGGTCATGGTTATATTTTGTGTAATTTAAATTTAATTATAAGTTACCCCTAGTTTTTGATTCACTCTTTTCTTGCATGTTGATCCACTAGCTTCTGCCTTTCTTGATCCTCAAAATGTCATGTTTGTTGCATTTGTGCATATGCATGTAAAAAGATTTGTTTTATTGACTCGTTCTTTGTAAATTAGAAGCTGCTAAATGAATGAGATTTTAGATTAGTTTGTTTTCAGACGTTTGCACTAAGACTATGGAGTAGAGCTGGTGGTGTTTTCTCTGTAAGATTTACACAATCTGTCATACTGTAAATGATCCAGAAGAGGGAGTTGTGCAGCAATGCTACAGTTCTCAGTTTGTGTAAATTCACTTGGGTTCAGATTATTCATTATTTCCCACATTAATTTCAAACTAGTAAAATTATGTGGTTTTATTTTATTAATCCAGTGTATACATTTTTTTTATTTACCCCGAAAGAATGGAAGTGAAATGTGACAACATGCCCCATAGGTGGAGCACATTATAACATGACCATGACAGATTAAAGAGTTATCTGATCTAATCAAAAAATTATAATAGACAAACTAAAATATTTCTCAATGAAATACAATTAAGTTTTTCATATAAAATGATGGCATTTTTCAATAATAAAAAAACTATTTTTTGAACACAGCTATACAGTTCAAAACATTATCATAAATTAATCATTTCTATACATTGATTATTTCTGACTCTCAGTCTTTATTCACCTTTTTCTCAATAGAATTCATAAAAGTCTAGAATAGAATATCATAGTTCTAATAGGAGCTCATTGGAACGCAGTGTGACAACATGCCCCGCCTGAGCAACTGGGGTTTAAACCCGGCGAGTGTTTCTGCGGTTAGATCAGCATTAAACAACTATCTCAACTGTTGAAGAACAGAGATAAGATTACAATAATATCAGATTTGTCTCATTTTAAATAAACACAAAAAAATAGAGATGAAAATGTACATAAACAATTTACTTTTGCCTTTTACTTTTTCCAAAGATTTCTGAATTTTGGTGCATATTATTCTCATATATATAGTGTTGAAATGGCAACTAGTTAATACACTAAGTTTCGTCATGCTGGCATGTGTATTTAAAACAAGTGTGTTAGCACACGCATGTTTGGCTGTAATCTTTCAAAAATATGCAAGACATTCTACAATAATAAATGACAGCATGTTTATGGGAAGCTACACACTCATTTGCAGTGTTTCCTTGTCACGTGGTTGTGTGTCAAGTTCATGAAGACAGTAATGCAGCAGAACAACCACAGAGCAAACTGATAAACCAATGCCAAGCATTCCAGCATGTGGTTTTGTCTGGAAACCCGACAGATGAGAGCTGACTATAATTGCAGGAATGCGGATCAAAAACCATTAGCAGGAAACGCTGTATCATAAAAATGTGAAACTTTGTTCGCTCTCAAAGGTCAGAATTTCACTGATTTCAGGACTCAAATATACAGTATACAGGTCCTTCTAAAAAAATTAACATATTGTGATGAAGTTCATTATTTTCCATAATGTAATGATAAAAATTTAACTTTCATATATTTTAGATTCATTGCACACCAACTGAAATATTTCAGGTCTTTTATTGTTTTAATACTGATGATTTTGGCATACACCTCATGAAAACCCAAAATTCCTGTCTCAAAAAATTAGCATATTTCATCCGACCAATAAAAGAAGTGTTTTAATGCAAAAAAAAAAAAGTCAACCTTCAAATAATTATGTTCAGTTATGCACTCAATACTTGGTCGGGAATCCTTTTGCAGAAATGACTGCTTCAATGCGGCGTGGCATGGAGGCAATCAGCCTGTGGCACTGCTGAGGTGTTATGGAGGCCCAGGATGCTTCGATAGCGGCCTTAAGCTCATCCAGAGTGTTGGGTCTTGCGTCTCTCAACTTTCTCTTCACAATATCCCACAGATTCTCTTTGGGGTTCAGGTCAGGAGAGCTGGCAGGCCAATTGAGCACAGTAATACCATGGTCAGTAAACCATTTACCAGTGGTTTTGGCACTGTGAGCAGGTGCCAGGTCGTGCTGAAAAATTAAATCTTCATCTCCATAAAGCTTTTCAGCAGATGGAAGCATGAAGTGCTCCAAAATCTCCTGATAGCTAGCTGCATTGACCCTGCCCTTGATAAAACACAGTGGACCAACACCAGCAGCTGACATGGCACCCCAGACCATCACTGACTGTGGGTACTTGACACTGGACTTCAGGCATTTTGGCATTTCCTTCTCCCCAGTCTTCCTCCAGACTCTGGCACCTTGATTTCCGAATGACATGCAAAACTGAGCAACAGTCCAGTGCTGCTTCTCTGTAGCCCAGGTCAGGCGCTTCTGCCGCTGTTTCTGGTTCAAAAGTGGCTTGACCTGGGGAATGCGGCACCTGTAGCCCATTCCTGCACACGCCTGTGCACGGTGGCTCTGGATGTTTCTACTCCAGACTCAGTCCACTGCTTCCGCAGGTCCCCCAAGCTCTGGAATCGGTCCTTCTCCACAATCTTCCTCAGGGTCCGGTCACCTCTTCTCGTTGTGCAGCGCTTTTTGCCACACTTTTTCCTTCCCACTGAGGTGCCTTGATACAGCACTCTGGGAACAGCCTATTTGTTCAGAAATTTCTTTCTGTCCTACCCTCTTGCTTGAGGGTGTCAATGATGGCCTTCTGGACAGCAGTCAGGTCGGCAGTCTTACCCATGATTGCGGTTTTGAGTAATGAAACAGGCTGGGAGTTTTTAAAAGCCTCAGGAATCTTTTGCAGGTGTTTAGAGTTAATTAGTTGATTCAGATGATTAGGTTAATAGCTCATTTAGAGACCCTTTTCATGATATGCTAATTTTTTTAGACAGGAATTTGGGGTTTTCATGAGCTGTATGCCAAAATCATCAGTATTAAAACAATAAAAGACCTGAAATATTTCAGTTGGTGTGCAATGAATCTAAAATATATGAAAGTTTAATTTTTATCATTACATTATGGAAAATAATGAACTTTATCACAATATGCTAATTTTTTTAGAAGGACCTGTATGTTGTTCAGACCCAAAATAGTGGTTTCCCACATGGCAGTTTCCATGATGTCCGTCTCTAATAATACAGAATATCCAGCCGGAAGATGAACTTACTGTTTTACTTGCCTGAGACTTGTATGATGACCTTGTTCTTAAAGGTGCAAAACGCAGGTTTCTGAGTTTTTCCAGAACTACGCCCCCTCTGGTGACAAGCGAAACTGCAACCAGAGTTCTGCACGCTCATAGACCACACGCACACGCACGCATGCACGAGCACGAGCTGTTCATAACTAAAGGAGCATCTGCCGCACAGATCTTTGGTGTACAGCCAAAATGTCTTCAGAGGTAATAAAGTTATAAATCTGCAAGTCATTTCAAATATATGGAAGGAAAGACATTTGAGTAAATTACTCTTATGTGTGAGGGGAAAACGGGGGTAGTAGAAAACTTTGTTTATGTGTTTACTGTATCCACCTATGATTGTATTGTTATGAAAACACGTTCATGAACAATATAATTGATTACGTCGCAATAGTTCAAAATAATAATCATACCGTACACGGTTGGTCAACAAAGTTCACTCAAATGTCTCAAGGTAATAAACAATCAAATGTCACCATGACGTTTTCATAAAAGCCAAAACAGGCTAATCCACCGAAGACTTGCGGGGTTCAGCCTGTTGTATTGATCTGCTAAGTAGAATATTCCAATAACAATACATCCTTTTTCTGTTAGAATTTACTCAAAATTTGTGTCTAATTATCGTCATATTTTTCAGCATGTTATATCACACTCAAGAATATTGAACTGTTTTGCTAATCACTAAACTACATGTAGCGCTGATTTATTTAGTAGATATTTTGACAAGGACAATACACACTGACAAATAATAATGTGAAATGTGTCAATACTTTATTTAGTAAATAGTTAGTCTGCTAAACAGTATGAGTAAAGTAAAAATATTTACCCCTTTACCATTGTATTTCCCTTCCTGCGATGTTCAGAATAAAACATGTATTTTATCACAATACCAAAATATTTTACGTTTTCCTCGTTTTGATAGAATACGAGCTCTGACCAATTTGATGTTACTGTGGAGAGAAGCACTGAGGATAGCAGTGACAGCAGTGAAAGGATTTACAATTTACTATTTTTACCGAAAAAGACAAAATAGCCAATGCAACGGCGTTCTTCCTTGTTGGTCAATGACATGAACACCTTAGCATGTTAGCAATGGACACAAGGCTAACGTTATCGGTAGGCCATGCACAAAAACATAGTTAGCATCTTTTATTGGATATGTTTTATGTTTCATGTTGTACTATTCTTCCGAACACAATTCCTAGTTTATGAAACTGTTCACTAACAATGGTAGTAAAATCAATTCTGATTGTATGTTTATCTAGCTTACGCTAAAGCATTACACATTTTACGCATCGTCATTTGTTGTCATACATAAATTGGCCGTATCAAACATTAGAGACTGGGCTATATCTTACCGTTTTATCAAGAAAAAAGCCAACTGAGGATCCCGTTTGAGACCAAGAGCAGACCGGAGATCTCTCCATTTGTTGAATGCCTTCCCGAGGTTGACTCTCGTACTCCGACGCCTGTCTGACTCAAATTTGGACCTTTTGGTGCGGTACTAGACAAAATTTTTCTTTTCTTTACTTTACGTGGAGTTTGCGTTAGGGTTTGGAATGGACTACAAGCCGGTCTCTTTGAATCCATCTTCTACTTTTGACGCACGAGTTGTCTTCGCTGATGCGGAGAATGGCGGCGCCGGCGAATACACAAACTTGCGAGACAGCCTGGTGAGCGTGAACGCGCATGACGTCACGCCCAGCCTCAAATTCGAGCCCGAATCCCTCTTATATATTTTACAGGATTATAGAGGCAATCTCAGTGTGCAGAGAAGGGCTCATTCAGCCCATCAGGCAGTTCTTTAAGCATGTATAGGAAGAAAAACAGGTATTTTGAACATGAAAAGTTGCGCAATGCACCTTTAATGTAGGATGTCTCTCACTATATCGGTTTAGAGATATTGTTCTCCATCCCTTCCACAAAAGAGACAGGCATTTCATTAGAGCAACAAGATTCAAGACGTTTTCGGCAGTTTCTTCCATTCTGACACAGAAGACCATAAATCATCCACGTGTGTGACATACTGTATATCCTAGCACATTTCCCATTTATAACCTGAATTAGGTTATGATGTGCTCAGTTCACACAGCGGTTTACATAATAATGAAAATATCCTACAGGCTTCACGCTGTGTGATTATTGTATTCCCTCAGAAAGCCTGAGTTGTGTTTCAGTAATGATGCCTCTTCAGTCTCTGCGTTCACTTTAAGCTTCTGTCTCATCCGGGGACGTCACACTCTTTCATTATGAATTTATGCGGCTCTCCAGTTGTTCTGATTCAGGTTCAGGTTTTGTACTTAAAAAAAGAAGGAAGCATTTGTTCTACATGCCAAATGAGAAAGAACAAACTTAATTTGAGCTTTAACTTGTTTCGAAGGGGCCTTTGATTTAAAGTTTAATTCGAGTCATTCGACTGTCTTTCAAACATGTTAGGAATGTTAAAGGGGTGGTATGATGCCCTTTTCACAAAATATCAAATAAATCTCTGATGTCCCCAGAGTGTGTAGGCCCTATGTGAAGTTTTAGCTCAAAATACCCTACAGATATTTTTATATAGCATGTTAAAGGCACACTGTGGAACTTTTCAACCTTTATAATATATTACCAAAACCCATTGAGATGGTACATCGACTTACAATAGGTTGAATGACACGTCTGCCGAAGCCTGAAGGTGTCTGTATCGCTTTTCCTAGCACTATGTAACTTCGGGTTTCGGGTAGGAACCCGAGCACAAAAAGAACTACAAAATTCGACCGCTTTACGGCATACGTCACTTCCCCCACCACCCCAACTTCCTCAAATTCTGACGTGAGAGCTCAACTCGCGTTTGATTGCCGTCTGTATGTTTTCGTCATGGCCGAACCAACAGCTACAAGGAAGAAGGCAAAGGTTTTGTCAGAGGACACTAAAAAAAAGAAAAAGGCATAGTGACAAAAATGAAAAGCCAGGACGAGGATCACCATTGGTCCAGCGTTCGCTCGCTGGCGTGAGCTACAGGAGGAGGGGTGCCCGACCGATGCTAAAGCTTGCCTGCACACAAATGCCGTTTCCAAGGTGACCCATATCAATCATATAAGTAGTGTAGTATTTTCTGGTATTCCGGCCACAGCCCATTGTTCATTTCTACACACAAACACAGCCCGCCACAGTGCAGGGCTCGCACAAATAAAGTCGACTCATGTCAAATGTACATTAAATGTAGTGAACGTGCCCACGACTCAGTGCCCACAAACACTACACACAACATGTCACACGGTTTCTGTAAAACGAAACCAACACACATAAGTTACAGTCAGCTCAGGCCGACGGTGTTTTTAGTGCAGTAAATGTGCCCGCCGTCCCGCGCCCACATTCACTCGCAGACATGTTAGCACTAAGCCCCTCGCTCTCTCTCAGCAGACTGCTATAAGGGAATCGAGCGCGGCCAGGCTGCCCGCCTCAAACACTGCAAGCGCACACAATCTAAAGACACGGGAGGCTGACCCACTGTCTATGGGCTGACCGGTTGACTTTTGCGACAGTGCTGCGGAGCTTGTGGCCTCTAGGGACGCTAGACGTGAAAGTTACAGGTCGAGCGCCACTAGTGGCCAAAAGTTCCGCGGTGTGCCTTTAAAGTTGTCACTTTTTGAGGCTGATCAAAAACGCACTGTTTTGTGTGTGTCCCTTTAAATGCAAATGCGCTGCAGCTCCCGACACAGTGGGCGGAGCTTCAAGAGCTTGTGTGTGTTAGCAGCTCCGATTACCTCACGCAGACACACGCTAAAATGTCAGAAACTGTTCTGCCTTTTATGTTTAAACTGGAGTCAGACAAAGATGGAGAGACTAAGAAGAAGAGACAACACGTAGAAGCAACAGGACGTCTCTGAATGGTTAGTTGATGAATTTATGTTGCTGATGTGGAGTTAACTATCTTCAATTAGCATATTCTGTCATGATAATCTATAAATCACTTGTATAGGAACTGTTGTGAGATGCACACAGAGTGACTACAACAGCTCTTCCTCTTCTCAACATGGACTGCATGTTCCCGGGGGGGGGGGGTTTATGTAAATTTTAGGGTTCCTGGGAGGAAGCTCGTGTAGTTCCTACCAGCCGTTTGTTGTAGTCCTTAAAAAACGATTTCTTTAAAAGCAAATATCTCCCTTTGCTTTGAACTTTGAGCGTTGTAACTTTGCAGATGTTGTTTATGCTCAAACAGCAACATTACACACTAACTAAAGTTAGAAAAGTGAAATCATAATCAACCACCCCTTTAAAAATGAAGAAAGTCTATGCCACAATTTTCAGAACATTTCATAAAAATTAACAGTAAGCTATGAGGTATGCAACAAGTTCACAGTTACACAAGTTTACTATCAAATGTAACCACACACACACACGCGCGCGCACACACTCTCTCACTCTCTCTCTCTCTCTCTCTCTCTCTCTCTCTCTCTCTCTCTCTCTCTCTCTCTATCACGTTTAATACATTTTAAACATATTTCCATATAGGCCTATAAATAAACACAAACAAACTTGTCCATGAAACCGGTCTAACAACGTGATTGCAGATCCAGTCACTTTTAGGTGTAACTACAACACAACTCCACTTCCCATGATCCCCTGAGAGCAGATCTAACTTCTCCAGCCCGCTCGGGTCCACAAAGGGTTTTGCTTGGCAAGTGTTAATAAGCAAGACGCTTTGGCAGAGTCACAGACAACCAGCAGCTTTCCTTCCCATGATGCCCGAACTCATGCAGTAGCAGCATGGCTGTTCAAGGTAAGGCTTTCAAGAGCTATTTAAGCTTAAATCTGTTTATGTATTGAAATGAACGCCAAACACACACACACACACACAGGGTTGGGATTATGATTGGCTGCCGATCAGCCGCAGATCTTTGCCCTGCTCTTACACTGGAAACCTATGACATGGAGATGGGCTCGCGGGGCGCGTGTGTGTGTAACCAGTCTATGCATGCAGTGTAAAGATCGAGGATCTGCATCATTCAGCATCTGCGCGCTCATCCTCTGATTCACAGAAGAAGACCACTGAGAGGAGCAGAACACAACACGGCATGTGCACGCTCTCAATCCAATCCGTTTTAATGTGTAAACGCTGCATTGTGTGCGACTCTTTGCCGATTCGGATGCGATGCGCGCTTCATTGAGGAGCGGCGGATTTGCGCGAGCGCGTTATTATTATTAATCAGTTTTCATAAGGCGCGTCTGTTAGACAGGTGTTTGGTTTGTTTCGACCACCTGCTCTGGTGCCATGATGTTAGGGCAATCTCCACACCTCATCGGAGGAATCCTCTGGATTCAGAACCCAATGCGAGGTAGGTTTATTTCTAAAGACATCGAATGATGCTTGTGTCGTATGACGTCTTATCGATCGTATTGGCCGTTTAGTTGAACTAGGAATAATGTAAAGAATTCAAATCACTTCAAACACACGTGATCTTTATGATTATTAAATTCGGTCTGTGGAATGACGGGGTAACGCTCAGACAGGGTTGTCATTCTTTTACTTCAGTAACTGTTTGTAAGGGTTTTATAGTGTTTGTATGAGCTTATGCCTGAAGCTCTCGGGATATCTCCACTGTTCTCTCACTGGATAAAAAGATTCCTTAAACAGATGTTTATCTTTTGTGACAACATGCCCCACAGCCCTGCGTGCTGTCACTGTACAATACAATAAATGTGTTATTATGTAACAATGGATCCTGTCCTTTAACAGCCTATTATAGGCTATTCAGCAGAAAGTTATGAAGGAAACATAAAGCTTTTTGGATACGGTTCACAAATACAGAAATATAGCCTAATGATTAATCTACTAGATAAACTGAACTTTTGAAGAAAAAACACATTTTATCCAGTAGGAACTTGTTTGATCTGATTTGGTCTGGTTCCAAATACAGTATGACTGCAATTCCATTAGCATTTCTTAGATTTGTTGAATTGCCATGCTTGAGTATAAATAACATTTTGATTTCAATATGTTTAATTATTAGAGCCTTGATTCATCTTCTATGCATCTTGAGAATAAATGTGATTAAAGCATTCACTTGATTAAAGTTTAATGGAGATAAATGCATCTTAACCTTTTAGAAAACACCCCATAACATTTTAGTTTTTAACATTGTTTTGGTGGTTCCATCTTTAATTGAGGTGTCGTACTGTACTAAATACTGTCACTTGCCCCCTGTAGGGCCAAAAGCCAAAATTAAATTTCTAAACCTTGTTGTCAGCATACTGAAGAAGTCTTGTTTCAGCATATACAGTCAAGAGAATAGAGAACCTGAGGATTTCTGCTTAACAAACAAAACATAATGGATCTTTAGGGAGAGTACATGTACAATATTCCTCTGAAAAATGGAAACTGCCTAATATCTGTGGCAAAGCTGTGAGTGATTATACATATTAAACGCTTTCTGTTAGGATCTTGCAGTAGCATCTCAGGGGTGTACTTGTGTAAATGCTTTGGCTCTTCACAACACGTCTGATTCTTCTTCGTGATTGGTCTTCAGGGACGTGACATACAGTATCCGCTGAAACCCAGACGGCAGTGTGACTGGAGGGCTGTTTAGCTAATGCTCTGCTGAGTGATTCCTCTTTAGTGGACGCTGTTCTGCTTTTAGAGTGACGTTTACACTTTGTAAGACAGCAAAACACTAGATTCCTGCATTTGTGATGTGCACTAACATTTTTCGGATATTACCATTAACCCTTTAGGCGCCAAGGTTTTTTTTTTAAAAAAATGCTGGATTTTGACATCAAAATGTCAAAAGCTTGTTGCTTGAAAGGGCTTAAAGATAGAGATCTACTGTAAATTAGAAAAACGTTAGGGATGACTGAAAGTTTATGTAGGGTGTAAATATACTCATCTAATTTGCATATTATGATGCCATCAGGGGGCGGCCCTCTTGAATTTCATAATATTCAGGAAATAGTAGATATTGAACTGATGTTTGAACTTATTTGCATGTTTTATTGTTTTATTTTATTTTTAAATCCTCATTCCAAATGATGAGAAAAGAGGAAACCAACAATAACAGGAGAAAGTACTAAATTATTGCTATACTATATTGTAGTAAAACGCATGTGAACAGTAGCCTACTTTTTGATCAGTTTATCAGTAATATTCAGGAAATAGTAGATATTGAATTGATGTTGGAGTTGGATTTGATGGTCAAAATGATCTGTTTGTGCTTCGTGAACACTCGCGCCTTGCGCGGCGGCACCATTGCACGGCAAAGATGTACCGGGAGAAGCGCGATCATTAGACGGCCGATCGTCATTTACAAAAGGCAAATATTCCCCTTCAGAGTCAGAATCAGCGAATAACATTTGCAACACATCCTCACGGTACAAGTTTTTATTAGCCATTTGACGATTTTCTCTCACAAATCTCACAATTTACTCAGACGCTCTGAACTGAACTGCTTCCGCATCAATGACACGCTTAAAGGGTTAATGTAGTGTGTATTATAGCTGTTTGTAGGAAAAAGATCAAAGTGCCGATAAATGGAGTTCCTGTCCCCTAAAAGAAAGAAGCGATTCTGAACTGAAACGAGTCGTCAGTAATTCAGTCTCGCTTCCCGCTGAACTTGCGTAGGTTTGTAACTCATTTACATAATGCCAGTATATGCTCCTGATTGGCTGAACAGCGTCTCTTAGCCCCGCCCTCAAACGCTGTAGTGTATCTGAGACTGGGAGAGTTCGGCTCGTGTTGTTCGTGTCGAGAAGACGCTGTTTTCTACTGACAAAGCAAATCCACTTTGATGAGATTGATACGGTGAAACCCACGCCATCGTTACTGTTCGTATCACTGTGATCAAGAGCTGAGGTTCAGATATGATAATGAGCGTTTGCTTTCTGACCAATCACAGCAGAGCAGCTCTCAGAGAGGCGGAGTTTAGAGAGACTGAATCTTCGAACGAACCGGTTTAGACACTGTGAGAAAAGAGCTGATGCTGCAATTAATATTATGAGAAATTTTTGATCTTGGATGCATGTAAAGATTTTGTAGGAGATTCCAAAACAAAATTAGAAACTTTTAAAATGGCATAATAGGGGCACTTTAAGCAGCAGAAATATGCATGTTATGTTGAAATGTCCGGCGAGTATAAAATGAGGATTGCTCGAGGAATCCGGTTATGCTTCCAGCGTGTAAAAGGGATATGTGTTGGAATGGCCTGGTGACGGATCGCTCACAGTCACATGAGACATTCAAAGACATTTGCATTCTCAAGCCGCTGAACTGACTCAAGATCAAAACGCTGAGAGACTGACTCTCACACACACTCCAGGCGGACTCCGAGTGATGTGCTGAAACACACTGCTGATATACGAACATGTCGACAGATAGTGTGTGCCAGACTACAGATTCTGAAGAGAGCAAGCTTGAGCAAAAGAATTGAGAGGGTGTTAAGGACTGTTTTCTTCTATAGGGCAGTTGAGTTGGCTGTATGAATTTTTTATTAGAGATTAAACATGTTCTTTGTTATGTTTAAAGTTATGACCTACTGTACTTGGTGTCTTCAGGAGGGTTATTCTTTATTTAAGACAAATCAGTCTTATCCTGACCTTTATTCACACCTTTATATCCTGACCGTTGAAAAGTTTGGGGTCAATACGTTTTTTAAAAGAAATTAATACTTTTACTCCGCAATTATGCATAAAATCGGTTAAAAATGACAGTAAAGACTTTTAAATTGTTACAAAACATTATATTTTAAATAAATGATGTTCTACTCATCAAGTGATCCAAAATAATGTAGGTTTATAGTGAGATAAACTTTTCTCAAGGTATGAATACTTTATTTTATGATGTCACAAAAATTCATCATGCGTAGTGAATGGGAAATTGAAACTGGGATATTGAAATCGGTTGACTTGCAGATATTAAAAATACACCTGAGTGCAACTGTTTCTGAAGGTTTAACACCTTTATGGAAACGGATTAATATTGTGTCATGCACCAGTTTGAGAGGTTTAACTCGGCACTATCAATAGGTGCAATTTTCTTTAATTGTGCTTTTTTTCCCTGGTTTTTAAACTTTATTGTAATAGATTATTTTTTACATTATTTACTGTTTCTTCAGCTCCAGCTCTCAAATATTATTCTTTTGTACATATTCCCTTTTGTGACGTCTATCTGAGTGAAACGCTTCTGGGACAAGAACAAATGTGGGCGGGGCTTGATTGTGTCCGTGGGGAATTGATTGGATGGTTGTGGTTTGCTATTGGCTGATCTCATGTGAGTGACAGGTGGCCCCGCCCTCGTCATCAGAGAAGTTATTCTGATTCAAGATTACAAGGCACATGAATTTAAAACGATGTGCACAGATAAATCATTTAGAATTAACATAAAAAAAATAAGAAATGTCAATTTTGATTGTAAGGTGACTTAAATGGTGTAGATTTAAATTTGCACTCATCGGTCAGTCATTGAGGATTTGATTTCTGCATGCGTATAGGTCAAGTATTCCTCAGTGAGTTCTCGAAGTCGACACACCTGAGCAATGTAAAATGTGTTCAGTGTTTCTCATAGCATTCCTTAGTTGAAGTGCTAAGCTGGGGTAAAAATCACTTTCTTATCTTGGAACATCATGTACATTTCTTCTTAGGAATACACCATGTATCTTAAAAATAAAGTTTTTTATTGCATTGATGTTTCCTTGACAAACCTTTAACATCCATGGAGTCTTTCCATTGCACAAAAGTTTCTTAATCGTGGAAAAAGGTTCTTTGGGGAACCTAAACTTGTTCTTCACTGGC